ATGTTTATTTTTCAGAGAGACGGGGAGAGAGAGAGAGAGAGAGAGAGAGAACACAAGTGGGGGAGGGGCAGAGAAAGAAAGAGCCACAGAATCCGAAGCAGGCTCCAGGCTCTGAGCTGTCAGCACAGAGCCCGAAGCGGGGCTCAAACCCATGAACCTCGAGATCATGACCTGAGCCAGAGTGGGAAGCTTAACTGACTGAGCCACCCAGGCACCCCAGAAGACTTTGAAATCTTTGACCAAATAAACACACCTACAGAGAATCCTTTGTCTTTATTATAATGCCCAAATAAGGATTTCTTCCCAGGTAAAAACTATAAATCACATAAAGGTTATAAGGAAAGGCTGCAAATGTTTCTCTCATCTTTCAGGTAGTGATGGATTTCCAATTAACTATCTTTTTGCTGGACTACAAAATGCAGTACAGCCTAGTACACTAAGTTTTTTTGTGATAAATCTTGAACAGGAGGTGAGGAAACCCATGAACTCCTTTGTTAATAGCTACACAAAATCAGTGAGCAGTCAAGCCATCCAGGGCACACTGTCTCCCTTCGGTTTCCTTCTGGAAAAAACGTCACTCAGCTCCACACTTAGTAGAAAAGAAAATGGCACAATTGTATTACTTAGTCTCGAGACTACACTACATTTAGAAATGAGTGTTTAACGAGATTTATCAAAGGAAAAATGGTTACAGTAATAATTATCATGCATCGTGGCAGTAATGGGCCCCGTTTTTTTTTTTGCATCTCCTTGTATTTGCACCTTTAATTTTTATAAGTTTATTTAGAGAGAGAGCGAGAGAGAGAGAACACATGCGTGAGCAGAGAAGGGGCACAGAGAGAGGGAGAGCAAGAATACCATGCAGGCTCTGCAGGTTCAGCATAGAACCCCATGCAGGGCTTGAACTCAGAAACTGTGAAATCATGACCTGAGCTGAAATCAAGAATTGGACGCTTAACCAACTGAGCCAGCCAAGCACCTCGTATTTGCACCTTTAGATGGTTTCCTCCCACTCTGACTCTGGGCTTAGCCAAGGAAGCACTTCCCTACTTCGGCTGATGGGACGATAACAAGCGTGCCACAGGCACACACTTGAGCAAGTGCTCGTGCGCTGGTGCTCACTCTCACAGGCCACTCTCTGCACCTCTGAGGCCACGATGTTAACAGACCCAGACTGGCCAGCCGAAGGAGAGACTACCTAGAGTGGAGATGAGGCATCCTTGCTTAGGGCCTCCTAGACCAACTGGCCTGACAAGCACCAGATGTGTGAGCAAGGCTAGCCGAGATGATCCAACCACCAGCTAGCCACCCTCCCTGCCCCCGAAAAGCTAACTGACACAGGCTACTTCAGAGTAAATATGTTTGCGGTCTGGTACATACGGAAAGGGGAAGAGAACACTGGCTTTCCTCCTGTGAAGTTCATTCTGCACATAAGAAGTAGTTTCAAACAGAAAAACCTGCAGTACCTGGATGAGAATAAATATATAAGTACTGAAAAACTGTCTACGTCTTCCCAGATTCTCACAAATGCGCTGTCTGCCATCACAGATGGCACACACCAAAAAAACAAAAAGCATTAAAAATTTCCATTTAGTCACTGAAGCATCTTTATCATGATATACTTAAACCAAAGTTTTATACTCAACAGTTCCATTTCTAACACTGAGCAACAACTCAGGTTTCCAGGAACGACTTCTCTCAGTTTTACTTTCCCCCCATTTGACAGGGCTCAGCGAAAGCCGAAAGCCTATGAGGCATCAGATGTATAAATCTAATGAAACCCTCTAGAAACATTCTGCAGGCCCAGCTTCTTCCAGCACCACAGCGACTCTTTTTAGCCATGTTAATGGTGGGCAGTGGAAACTGTTTAAGATCTACACATCTGGGCCAGAAACACTACTTCCGTTGGATCACGAAGTGGGACACTGAAGGGGAAATGACTTTAAGCTACTTTTGTTGATGCCTCACTAGATGCTTTTCTGGATTACACACGCCATGCCACCACCCCCCCCCCCCCCCCCCCCCCCCCCCCCCCCCC